TATCTATCTATCTATCTATCTATCTATCTATCTATCTATCTATCTATCTATCTATCTACTATCTACCTACAAACACATATACCTATATACACATATATGCACATATATGTTTATATATACACACATAGACATAAACAGTGACATTAATACTTTTTATTCTATATAGCTTTTGTTTCCAACTATATCCCTCCTTTTTCTGTCCCCCAGAGAGTCATCACTTTTAATAAAGAATTAAAGCCAGGAAGATAAAAACAATCTTATCAGCAAAACTAACCGGAATTTTAGCGTTCCTCCACCCTGGTCCCTCACTTCTGCAAAAGAGGACAAAGGAAGGAGAGGTGGAGAAGATATTGGGGTATCTTTTCTGATTGTGCTTTTACACACTGGAAGTGGTCTGTGATCCTTGGAACAGAATTCAACTAGTCAGAAAAATTCTGGAAGGTGGAGTTTGTTTTCTTTGACGCAAATGATAAACTCCCTCAGAAGGGGCAGGGATCAGTGCTGGAAAAAAATTCAATCCAGCCTAATTTCAATTCAGCAAGTATTTTTTTTTTTTTATTAAGCTCCATTATATGCGAGGCACAGATTATAAAATCGCATATAGTATGTCCCCCAAGTTCTCTGAAACGCTCTTTTACCCTCCCCACATACTCCACTTCCCCTCTTTTTTGGTCTCCCCTAAAGAAAGAGCTGCCAAACCCCTCTAGAGTCCCAGAGACTTTGAAACGCTGGCGTCTTTCCTCCTTTGAAGATTTCCTCCTATTTTCTGATCTCTTTCTCTCCTCTCCTCTGAGCACAGTTTAAAAGTTGTGTCTAGCTAGTTCTGGTGCCCTGGCATCCTATTTTCAGCACCTCAGTCCCCAGAGCCCAGCGGTTTCGGTCTCCCCCCTCGCAAGTCCCATTAAGCAACCCAGGGCTCTGAGGTTTTGGTACTTATGCTGTTCCACTCGCCTTCTGCACGTTGTAAATGTGTTTTGAGATCACTTTACCAAAGAGAACTGTAACCTCGGAGGGCTTCTCCTAATGACAGAGCCTCGTGAGTGACAGCATCCTTCTCGGCACAACACTGGCAGATGGAGAAGGGGGGAAGAAGGCAAAAGTTGTGCCGTCTTCAGTAGCCGGTTTGAGGTGGGGTACAATGGGCGAGGGGAGGAAGAGCAGAGATACATCGCCCACGGCCAAGGACCTTCACCCGGGCAGGACTGTGGGAATGTGATGGAAAGTTTCGGCCTGAAAGGGAGTGAAAGAATACCCAAGGCTTAGGAAAGAAGTTGGATTGTGGCCTGCCAGTAAAAGTACCTAATAGAAAGGAATCCAGTGAAAGGTGGATCAGAAGCGCCTCAGCCACTAACCAGCTCTCTCCTCCCCCCTCCCCCATCTCCAGCTACAACATTAAAGATCAAGTTTGTTTGTGACCGGAACACAAACCCGTAAACAGCTCTATTTTAGCACTTGTCCAGTGTACTCGGGCAACATTCCTGGGATCCACCGTCCAGTAAAGGTAGTCAGATTACTGCTGACCAAAAACCACGGCTCCTTGGCAAATCCTCCAACCCACTTAAAGTCAAGAACCGTTCGTTAAGCACCTACTGTTTGCTCTAAAGGCTATGTGACAGTGCCTTAGAGAGCTAACCTCGGAGCCGCCAAGATTTGGATTCAAGTCCCATCTATTGACTTCCCGGAGCCTGGGCAAATCATTTAACCCCTCACTGATCTAGGCAACTCCTCAAGACTATAAGTGTAAAACCTGTGTGATATACAGCATGTATGTGATATAAAATTCTTCATCTAGGGTTCCCTGTTATTGTTGTTTTTAAATAACTATTTCAAATCCCAAACAAAATCGTCAGTACCAGCTAAAATCCCAACTTCTACAGAAAGTCATCACTGCCTTTTAACACCAATTGTTCATCTTTGTGATTATCTTTAATTTATCACATCTATATTTTCTTTGTAAATAGTTGTTCACCTGTTATATCCCCAATTAGATTGTGAGTTCTTTGAGAGCAGGGACTGATTTTTTTTTCCTTTCTTTTTATCTCTAGCATTTAGCACATAGTGGACATTCAATAAACACTTGTTGATTTTACTTGAAAATAATGTTTCCTTTGTTAACCTATGTAATCTGTTGTATTTATTTAAAAACTTTCTGAGAAAGGATCCTTAGACTTCCCAGACTGCCAAAGGGGTAGAAACACACACCAAAAATTAAGAATCCCTGGAGAGAGTTCCCTCTATCAGTGAAATCATAAGTTCAATCTCTTATCCTATTATGTGACTAAAACACCATGCTGGAATTGGGGAAGGAGTGTCCTAAAAGACAAAGGGGAAACTTCTTCTGTGATGGAGAAAAGTAGGGAGTTGAATACTGTACTTCAAAGATGACAGAGGCCATTTTAATGTTTCCAGCTATTTGGCCAAGGATTGCTACCATTCCCGAAGTCTTGATTTTTTCCCCCTGTAACTTTATTCCTTTATCAGGTTTATGCTCTTAATACAGGATTCATTTCAAAGGCTCTGGTCCTGTTTATAGCCCTAAATAAACTGCAGATGTACTCCCAACTGGCCTGGTAATTAAGGAACCCTTTGGGGTGAGCAGTGTGGGTTTGTGCAAAATTTTTAAGAGAAATGTTTTCCCTAGGAAGGGTGAGATATTTAGGATTTAAGGCAGCAAAGACCTCTGTATTGCCATTCTACCTCATCTGTAGTGTTTCCCTTGTCCCCCACAATAATTCCCTTTGCCTCAATGAACCCTGATGAAAACAGTACCTTTCTGGCTATTACTGACACAAGATCTCCAAGCCAAGACCCCTTAAGGAAAAAGAGTTATAGAAAGTAAACAAAGCAAAACAAAACAAAACACCCCCCCCCCCAAGGCTCCCAGACAGAGCTATAACACTTACTGGACAGGCTGGCAGAAAGGTTTAAAGCAAGGCCGCTTCCTCTAGGAGCTGATACGTAGTCCTAGGAGAGAGATCACTCAGACCTGAATCTAGCAACAAGGTAATGACATATGGGCATGTGCCTTGGGTAACTCATTTTCCTAAAATTAAAAACACACAAACACAAGTTATCTGAATGTGGTCAAAGGACTGGTTCTTGGGGCTCTGGCAACCGTCTGTTAATGGTTTCATTACCGCTTTAATTACCATCCCCTTCCTCCACCCCCCACCACCACCTCCCCACCCAGGGTTACAATGATCTAGCTGCAAGCTTTCTGGAAGGCTTTTGTCACCGGTTTGTGTGAAGTTACTTAGGGATTGTGGGGTTAGAAATTTTACACTAGCGGGAGGGATTGTGGCTCCAGCAGCTGGGACGCATCTGTAACGGTGTAAGTTTGCTTGAAAGCAGAAAATGAGCAAACCCCAAGTCTTGCTTCTCTGTTATGTCTGTGGAAACAAGAGGGTCAGAGCTAGAGACCAAGAAAAGCTAGATGGATTAGCTTAGAATGTAATTTTCTCTTTCTTTCATTCTTTCTTTCTCTTTTCTTTGTGTCTTCTTTCTTTCTGGGGTTTGTTGAGGTGCCTTGATTTCAAAGGTTAAAGACATTTTTTGATTCAAGTCCTAATGCATATACTTGGTTGTTCTCCTTTCCATCATCTCTTTTAAGATGAGCAGTGATATACATTTAAGAAAGGCCTGATTTGTTAAAATCTCCATTAAAGCAGCTACTTTAAAAATGACCTTATCCAAGTCTTAGAAGAATTCTCAACCTAGCCCATCAAAAGAGGAAACACTTAAGAGTCCAATGCATTTTCAAGTTTGCAAAACTCATGTATCCTGCACACTTGTCTGAAGAATCACTAATGTAAAGTTATTGGAAAGGAGAAATAATTGATTTTACAGTAGGGCCCTCTCCCCATCCTTAGAACTTTCGATTTTTCTGAGTCTCCTCAAGAGATTGTTTGTCCCAGGTCTAGTTTGTTTCAAAGATGCAGAAATTGAAGAAAGGAGGAAATTTCATGAAGTTTAATGTTGGTTGTTGCTAGGATCACATTTAGAAATAATCTCCAGGTTTGGTTAAATTGTGAGTGAAAGTGAGAGGGGAAGGGGGAGGGGGTGGGTGGTTGGAGAAGGCGGCCCCCATTAAAAAGAAATGCAGTAAAATCATTAACTAGTCAAAAGGAGCTGTAAACAGCAAATTGTCTCCTGGGGAAAGTAGGTTTGCCCAGACAGCCCCCAGTAGGGGTTGTGGTGGGATATGCTAATAATGAGTAGCCGCTGTAGACCAGCCTCCCTCTCCATGAATATATAAAGAGGCCATGCCTCTGAGTTAAGGACACTAGCCTCTCCCCTCTCTAATTGCTGAGGAAATTGACCAAGTGGAACGGGCAGAGTAACTTTCACTGGAGTCTCCCTCTCTGCGGTCCAGGTGCAACATCCCTCCCTCTCTCCTCTGGCAGAATGGAAATGATGGAGAGCTGCCAGTTCTCCCCATCCGAATTCTTCTACGACAGCTCCTGCATCCCTTCTCCAGAGGGGGACTTTGGGGACGAGTTTGAACCTAGAATGACCTCTTTTGGAGCCCACAAAACAGACCTGCAAGGCTCAGACGAAGAGGAGCATGTGCGAGCCCCAACGGGTCACCACCAAGCGGGCCACTGCCTCATGTGGGCTTGCAAAGCCTGCAAGAGGAAGGCCACCACCATGGACAGGCGGAAGGCGGCCACCATGCGTGAAAGGCGGAGGCTGAAGAAGGTGAACCAGGCTTTTGAGACGCTTAAGAGGTGCACTACGGCCAATCCTAACCAGAGGCTCCCCAAAGTGGAGATTCTCAGAAATGCCATCAGATACATTGAGAGTCTCCAAGAGTTGCTGAGGGAACAGGTCGAAAACTATTACACTCTACCGGGACAGAGCTGCTCTGAACCCACCAGCCCCACCTCCAACTGTTCCGATGGGATGGTAAGAAGTTCATACATAGATGATTGTCTTTTTTTTATTATTACCGTTCAAAATAAATGAAAAAATGCTAGAGGTATTAGGTGGCTTGATTTTTTTTTTAGCTCAAGGCTATCTAGGGGTAACTTTTAATATTGTAAAATGCTGAATGGACCCAGGTTTATAAAGGTTACGTAGTCCTGTTTTGGGAAAGCAGCCAGCCTGGTGTAGAGACTACTAGGCTGAAACTCAGAAAACCTGGTTTCTAGATGTTGTTCATCTCTATATGACCTTAAGCTCTATGGGCCCCCAATATTTGCTCATCTACAAAATGAGGAGGGTTGACCCAGATGATCTCTAAGCGTCCTTCCAATTCTGACCCTGGGAGTCAGCTCTTAGAGTATGCAACTGCCATGTAATTGACACAATCCTGTTTGTGTTTCTAAAGCAGTGGAGGGCACCTCATTCTGCAAGGTGCTGCCTGCTAAGGTAGCTGCCAGGAAGAAAGATCACAGAGTGGTCTTTGGAAGGAAGCAATGAAGTTTTCTTCATTATGGTCCATTTCCAAAAATGTAATTTAAGTCTGTTTGCCACACACAGAGAACTAAGGGGCAATCTCTGAAACCTACATTGCCCGTGTTTTTAATAACTTAATGAAGAAATGGAAAAAAAAAAAAACCCAACACCCACTCATGCCATAACCCCTCCCCTGAGGAAGTCTGGCTCTGAGAAGTTGTTGATGCATTCTTTTCTTAGAGCGTTTGCTTCATCTGTGCCAGGTTTTAATGTGTTGTTGCCCTGGGAAAGTGTTCTCTCACTGAATTAGGGTAGCTTCCTCCTACTTCCATCCATTCTTCATGGATAAACCAATGAAAATTGCAATCTCATCTTATCTCATGTCATCTCATTTTACCTCATCTCATCTCATTTCTAATCTCTCTTTTTCTGGCTCAATGTCTCTAACTGTCTCTGTATCTCTCTGCCTCTCTTTCCTCCCCCTTTTTCTTTCTCCTTTCTCTTTTCCTTTTCTTTCTCCTCTCTTTTGTTCTTCTCCTCTTCCACCTCCATGTCCCAGCAATTTCACTAGGGCTTTCCATTTCAAAAATAAAATTGAAGGGGTTCAGAATGGTCAGCAGAAGTGATCTGACCCCTTGTTTAGAGTCCCAGGTTGTCATACACTAAACCTTGCTTTCTCTCTTGTGTTTTGCTCTTCTTAGGCTGAGTGCAACAGCCCCGTGTGGTCCAGAAGAAACAGCAGTTTTGACAGTGTCTACTGCCCCGATATGACAAATGGTGAGTGCTAATGGTCATAGATTAGCTTCAGACCTAGTGAACTGAACAGCCCACTTTAGACATAGGGTTCTTAACCTCCATTAGATCCCTTTGACAGTCTGACGAAGCCTAAGGATCTCTTCTCAGTATAATGTTTCCCATTGCATCAAATAAAACACACAAGATGACAAATAAGACCAAAACTATTGTAATAAAGTTTAAAGGACCCTACTCTAAGCAAACCAAAGCTTTTTCAGACTTCTTTTAGTTTTTATCGAGTAAGAGATAAGTTGGTGATACTCTGAGCTAAAAACAAGCAAGCAAACGAGCAAACAAAGAAAAATCCTCAACCCAACAGCAACAAAAAGTCTGTTCCCAGTCCCTTTCCACTATCCTCGTGCCCCGCCATTGAAGACATGTACTTTAGCCTGAGTCACCAAGATATTTGCTTCCAATTTCCTATTTTCTTTTTCTATGGCCACCTGACTTTTGAGTGTGGGAGAAAGATCAAGAGAGAGGGGGAAGGCAGAGTAGCAAATCTTTCTACCCATGTCTAATTCATAATATGTTTCTCTCCTATCCTCAGTTTCCTCCACTGACAAAAATTCCACATTATCCAGTTTGGATTGTTTATCCAGCATAGTGGATCGGATCTCATCCTCTGACCAACCTGTGTTGACTCTGCAAGACCCTGCTTCTCTCTCTCCAATTGCCAGCACTGACTCTCAGCCAGAAACACCAGGGGCCCCTAATTCCAGGCTCATCTATCATGTGCTATGAACTCTGAGACTTGAGATTAATTCCACCCACCGATTTTACCTCCAAGTACAGAATTAACAGGAAAGCCTGTTAGACCATGGAGCAAGAGGCTGTGCAAAGTTCCAAGCTAAGACATTCTGTATATAAATATTTCATGTTAGTTGTATATTTGTAAATACTATTTTGCCACTTTATAAGAAAATGTATTTAACTAAAAAGTCACCATCATATGAATGCTTTGTTTTTACTTTTGATATATATTTTTAATATTATTATTCATGGTGGAAAGTTGTTGGGAGGGGTAACTTGCAGAAGTACTTAAGTTATATTTTCATAAATGTTGCTTATCAAAAACATTCTTTCGTGGTTATTAGAATGGCATTTTATACTTTTAAAGATGGGTGGGATCAGTTACAGGAGACTTTAACCATAGCTCAATTTTGCTTGCTCTTAAAGTCAGTTTTATTAAATAAAAAGAAAAAAAATACTGCCTAATAGTATATATTTTACTCTTTGTATATGCAAAATGCATCTTTCTAACGTAAGAATAAATCAGTCTTTTTGTGGATATTTTCAAGATATGAGAAACTTTGGAAGTGCCACTATAAATAAAAAAAGTCTACTCACAGAAATATGTTGGTCTGATTCTTTGAAAGAACAAGACAACTTCCAGAGAAATTAGCAAGAAATTATACAAAGTCCTTAACTCTGTGCTTACACAATACCAATACATTGGAATATTAGACTAACCCAGCTATTTGGAATCTTGAGGACTCTTTTGAAGTCCTATTTACTTCCCAATGTTAAATGTCAATGTGAAACCAAGTAGGTCTTTCATAGCTAAAGGATAACCTTCCTCTAACTTGACATTTCATATGTAAGGGTAATTATGCCATGGAAATGGAGATCTGCAGGTGATTTCACACTAATGGCATCTAAATGGACATGCAGAATTTATAGAATTCTGATGTTTGCAAAAGGCTGTTAAAACATAAATTAGATGTTTTTGCAAGAGATACATGTCGGTGAAGGACCTGGAGATGGTATCATATGATGACAGATTATTTGAAAGGATTGGGACTGCTTGATCTGAGGAAGAGGAGATTTATCAGGATATATTAGCTATCACTGAGAGGTTGGGGCATGGGAAAAGTCTTTGATAGGCTTTGGCAACAGAGCTAGGCAGAACTAAGGAAGGGTTAGGAGTAATATGTGGAAGTTACAAAGAAATGGACTTAGCATTGAGGTAAGGAAAAACTTTCCAGCAATCAGGGCTGTCCCAGAGTGGGATGGGCTGGCTCCAGAAGTGACGAGTTCACCTTTATTAGAGATCTTCAAACAAAGGCTGTATGACCACTTCCCAGGCAAGTTGTAGCGGAGATTCTTGTTTACGTCTGGGTTGGAATAAGATCACAGATTTAGAATTGGGGAAAACTTAGAGGCCATGGGGCCCAACTTCCTCATTTTATAGAGGAAGACATTGAAGCACAAAGAGGTTGAGTGACTTACCCAGGTCACACAGCAAATAAATATGTAACAAAATGGCCTCTGAGGTCCCTTCTAAGTCTGAGATTCTGTGATTTTTTTTCCCTTTTCTTTCTACAACTAGATATTATTTTGAGATTGTTAACTTGTCCATAAGAGCTACAAATGAATTGTTAAGGCATTATGTTTTTGTATTTCCATATTAGTAAGACTAAAAGAGGCCTTCTTCATTTTGCAGATGAGGAAACTGAGGCCTGAGAGTTGGAACTTACTTGCCCAAGGTCATACATGGAGCAAGTAGTGGGAACTAAGATCGAAACTTTCTGACTTCAAATTCAATACTCTTTTCACTACAACATTGCTTATTCTTTCATAAATGTTTTCCTTTAAAAGAAAAAAAAAGAAAAATAGTTAAATTAGCAGATGTTAGCACTTTTTCATTAATCTAATCAAAGAAATAATGAGACACATCAATATATTCCTTCATATTCCTGCATAAAAAATTTATCTACTAAATTCCTTTGCCTTCTATTAGATTGCTACCTCCATCTTGAATTTCCACTAATAATGAAAATAATATTTTGTTTATACAATACCTTAAGGTTTGGAAAGTAATGACTGGTTGATACTATAAGCAAGTGTAATAGTAATACAAAACATTTAATTAAAGGGATCTCTGGTCCCCCATATTTCACATGTTGACAAATTCAACTAATGAAAACAAAATACAAAGTTTGTGGCTGAGTATATCCCATTTGCAGCATTGTAGATTAGAAATAGTATTCAGTCTGAAGTCAGAGGTTTTTGGTTCAAGTCCTGGCTCTATCATTTGCCACCTATGTGACTATGGGACAAATTACTTAACTTCTCTTTGCCTCTGTTTACCCATTTGTAAAATGGGGATGTTGGACTACATGGTGTCTAGGGTTTCACCTTGCTTTAAATCTAGGTAACTATGACATTGGAGCTAGGTCTTTTGCTAGTACATAAAGTGCTCAACACTAAGAAACCACATTCTTCTTTTCAGCAGACAGTCTTCCATCGTTGATCCTCTAAAGAACAGGGTACCAGCTTGAGCTCCCATCCCAGGAGCAGAAAAAGTGTAAGTAAAATATAAGTACAGGCAGGATCAGGATGGGCCCCAAATAGTACAGGACAAACAACTGGGCTGCCTCTGCATCTGCCCAAATAGTAAACCTTAATAAGTGCTTGTTGACTGATGGGCCCCTCAAGGAAGGGCCTATAACTGGCTGGTACCAGCAGTCACACAGACAGCTCTTAGGAGTGACTACTACATTCTCTCCTTTACCTGTATAAATCCAGTGAGGAGCAGAGTCCAAAAGAAACTGAGGCCCAAGAGCTTGGTTTTCCAAGACCAGGAAGTGTATAAGTTCCTTAGTGCTCCTAGGGGAGAATTGAGTCTAGAGAGGGCTGAATCTTTTTATAGTGCTGCTTAAACCAAGGTACTACATAGTTTTGGATATTATTCTGTTTGCTATTTTTCTCTTTTTTTTGAAAGGGACAATTAAGTTAAAATTAGTAGACACTTTATAGATCCCAGGGAGTGTCCTGTTAAAGATGGCATTCCAACCAACAGTGACTCAGAAATGGATCCTTCCCAGAGCTTACACTCCAGGGTTAGAAAAGTAAGGAGACTAAAGTGGTAACTTAATTCCCTGATTTGTGGAGGTGGTATTTCTGGGAATGATATTGTAGTACTGCTATTTGTGACTTCAGATAAGCCCTGTTGGATGGCAGAGTCCCCAAGCAAATTTCACAATCAAATGCCCTCACGTCATCACACATGTACTCAAAAATTGCAGGACCCCTGAACCCACTTTTTCCTAGAGGGTCTGATGAATGATTTGACCCCCAGACGTTGTCTACTCTTGCTGAAAAAGCAGGCTTGAAAATTCAATCCTAGGAAAGTTTTTGTTGTTAATTTAGTTCTCTGTCTGTCCTTTAAACTTAGTTGCCTCATCTGTCAAATGAGGGAAAATGATGACAAGATAGCTCGTGACACTGTTGTAACCAATAAAAATAAATAACTTCTCAAAGGGAAAGAATTATGAAAATGCTCCTTGATCTAAGGGAAAACAGACCCTCCCCAGAGTTATGTCAGTTCCATTCAGACAAAGTGCTATCTGCATGCGTGCATGCATGCAAGCATGAATGAATTAATGAATGAAAAGAAAATACAAAATCAAAAATAAAATACTGCCTGATTTTCTTCCCTGATCTCTCCCAGAAGCTGCTGGAAGGGATAAGTCAGTAAAAGTAACTTGAAGAAGGTTGTGGCTGTGGTTTTTCCTTCATTCTTGAAGAGAACCATGACACCAGGGAGATGATGACATGACTTGCCATTGAATTTGATTTGAGGGAGGGAGGGCTGGGCAAGATCACCAGCCTCACTTTCTCCTCCAGAGCCATCTGGTTCCAGTGGCCAGATATTGATCAGGATGACTGCAGATGGCCCAGGATGCAGTGGGAGATCTTGGCCCTTTTAAGTCAAAGTCTTTTCAGGTTCTCACTTTGAGTGAGGCAATGCCCACTCAGTGAGTAGACCTCTTCAAGAGGTGAGTCAAGGAATGGCGCCTTTAATGAACTAAATAAAATCAAACTGGGAAGGGAAGACCTTCAGGGTTGCTGGCCAAGAGAGAAACAGTTACTATTTACATTCACTCTGAGACAGAAGGGCCCAAAAAATAACCATTAAGCCGTGCTTGGACAGGGACTTATTGTTGTCCAATTGATGAGATCCAGAGTAAACTGGGTTTAAGACTTGGTCTTTGAGAAAGAAATCTATCCAGTAAACCCCAAGATAACTAGGTAGGTTTCAGCCATTAAAATTTACCTTCCTTTGGGTAGAACACCCTCAGGTAAAGGAAAGAGGAGAGGGGAGGGGTGGAGGGAAGAGAGAGGAGGGGGGAACGGGAGGACTGGGAAGTCTCAAGGACAGTTTTACTGAGGAGATGGCATGTGGGATGGCCCTAGAAGGAAGATCAGCACTCAGAGGCCCACAGGTGAGGAGGAAATACATTCCAGACTCGGAGATGGCTTGTGTGGACACAAAGAGGCAGGAAATAAATTACTGAGTTTAGGAAACAGCTGATATCGAGTGCATGAAGAAGAGTAATTTGTAAATTAGCTGGAAAGATAGGTTGGAGCCAGATTGTGAAGAACCTTTAGGCTGAGGGGCTTGTATTTTATCACAGAGGGTGTTGAGAGCCACTGGAGGTCTTTGAGCAGGGCAATGACTTGTGCCTTAGGACCGTTATTTTGTGAAAAGGATTGATTATGGAGAGAAGACACTGAAAACAAGAAGACCAATTAGGAGGCTATTTGTAGAATTAGAGGCAAAAATGGCCTTAAACTTCATCTTGTATGAGCCCCTCTCATTTTACAGATGAGGAAACTGAAGCCCAAATAAGTTAAACTCATTCATTCATTCAATAAACTCTTATTAAGGGCTTACTATGTGCCAGGTACCATGAATACAAAAAGAGGCGAAAGCAGTCTTTACCCTCAAGGAGCTT